ATATGTATTTTAGAATAAATTTGTGTATAGAGTTTTGTAGTATAACTAAGTCCAAGTTTGAAACAGCTTATGTTGTTTTCTTTTCTACAAAAAATGTTGCCTTTTGATTGCCGTCTTCTTGTATTTGTGCAAGGCAACATTTTTCGGAAGACTTGCCGTTGATTTCTGAAATTTTTTTTCGATGAAGGCATTACACATTTTCTTTAAATAAACATATACTTGTGGTCAGTGTAGTGAATTCAACAAACTTTAACTCCAAAAATTGTAAACTTTTTATACAGAATTGCAAGAAAAAAAAGTGCTGAATATTAACACATTAAAGAAGTATAGCAAAAACTGGCCGAAACAAACTGAGTCTATTATTTCTGCCTCCAGTGTATAAAAAAAAATTCGTAAAATTTTAATGAAATTTGCAGAATTTTTTCCAAATTTTACACAAAGTTTGCAACTCTGATTTTTGTGGGTTTTATTATAGGTTGATCTACATGTACATATATATATATGAATATATATATGTATATTAAATATGAGAAGATGTATTTATTTAATGCAGCGCAATTTTGTCGCCATTAAAAAGGTCACGGTTGTGGCCGGTACTGTACATTTACTCAGTGTAGCGGCAGTGAGTTTACATATAATTTTATATAGTATCCTTTGCTTTGTTTTTACGTTTTGTTTTACGTCTGACTACGCAGATAATAATCACAAGCGCCCTGTACTCAGTTATCCAGCGGTAGCCGCGCTGAAAAACAAAGTACAGATTTTGATGAGATTTCTGAAATGGATATGCAGATTTTATTCCCCTATTGCTGGCTGCAGAGATTTTCCATTCGGAAATTTTCGTTTGCATTGCAGCCAAATTGATGCGTAGATGTGAGTGCCGTCAGATTTTCAACACCTCTTACAATATAACTTTTTTTGTTATTATTTGTGATTGTTGTTGCTTTTATGCCAACTTTTTTCTTTGGTTTTGTTTTGTTTGTTGTCTGTTTGATGGATTTTCATACAATCCGACTGTCAGCGGCAGTGCCGGTTGACAATCAGCGTTAGTCCTCACCAAATCAAGTCGACGCGTGTCTCTAGTTTCCTCATGTGTAAACACACCCATACACATACTCAGGCAGTGAAGGAAGGTTGCACATTGGTAGACATTTACATAATAAAATCGCAATAAAAGTTAAGTTGTGTAAAGCTGAAAAACAAACTGGAAAGGCAAGTGGCGTTACCTCTGAGCGTTCACACACACACATACATATATGTATATCTATTCACTTAAACACATGTATGTACGGATATGTACATATATGCCATTTATCACATTCAGGACTTCATTTGAGTACTTTTGTCCTTCCGCTGCTCGTACTGTGACTGTGGCGGCTGTGGCTGTGGCTGCGGCTGCGGCTTCGGCTGCAACACAAATCGGATTAAGAAATTCCGTTCACTTTCACATAATTGAATGTTTTTGTTGTCGCAATGAGGACCAAATTTAAAATTTTTCACTTGACTTATTTTTGTTGTCATACAATTTGCACACTTCATTGTCATTGTTGTTATTTGCTTGATGGCATTGCATGTATTTATTTGTATGCATTTATGTGCATGTGAATGTATGTATGTATATTCGTAAAATGCTGAGCTGGGGTAAGCTTAAGTCACCTCGTACTTTAAGCTTTGATGGAACTACCACTTTGAATCACAGCGAACGCGCTACCCCAAAAAAAGTCGTTTTCAAACCGCCCGGTTCTAGGAAGCATTACCTTACAAAGAGAAGTGAGTAAGCTCGCAAGTCGACTGCCACATGACATATTCGATTATTGTAACAGCCCTGATCTGGGTGTCGTGTTAAAGAATGCCCATGTAAGCGATCTTGCGAAGTCGGGATAGATAGTCGGGAAAGTGCTTGCGAAGATACCACTGCTTTTTAGAGAGAGGACTTGGTAATTAGTTTCATAATGAAGGACATGGCTTTTAATGATAAAGAGTTCAGTTGCACGCCTCTCAACACCTCGCTTATACCTACTACTTGCAAAGGCGAAGCAGAAGCAGTGATGCCATTTTATCGATTTTCCCACTAGATCTAGCTGTGTTATTTTTTTCGTAGTGCGAAAAATTAGAATTCGTTGAGGAGCGGGAGTTTTAGCGTTTATTTAGGAGATTTTAGCTAGATTTTAGCGAGCGAGTGGTACTAGTTTGGAAGTCCTCTTGTCTTCGAAATAAGTCCGAGAGCTATTGGGATTATACCAGTATTCAGGCTTAAGGTCTGACTATGGCAACTTAATGTAACTTATAGGCTTTTATTAGACATTCTCTTAAATGGATGTTGCTTGTAATTGAACAGCCGAAACTTAACGTAACGTAATGCCATGNCAATGCCCATGTAAGCGAACTTGCGAAGTCGGGATAGATAGTCGGGAAAGTGCTTGCGAAGATACCACTGCTTTTTAGAGAGAGGACTTGGTACTTAGTTTCATAATGAAGGACATGGCTTTTAATGATAAAGAGTTGCAGTTGCAGAAGCGGTGATGCCATTTTAGCGATTTTCCCACTAGATCTAGCTGTGTTATTTTCTTTGTAGTGAGAAAAATTACAATTCGATGAGTAGCGGGAGTTTTAGCGTTTATTTAGGAGATTTTAGCGAGCGAGTGGTACTAGTTTGGAAGTCCTCTTGTCTTCGAAATAAGTCCGAGAGCTATTGGGATTATACCAGTATTCAGGCTTAAGGTCTGACTATGGCAACTTAATGTAACTTATAGGCTTTTATTAGACATTCTCTTAAATGGATGTTGCTTGTAATTGAACAGCCGAAACTTAACGTAACGTAATGCCATGTCGAATCTGTTTCATTTTGATTTTCCAAGTTCTCGTTCCGTTAAGTTACGTTAAGTTGCCTTAATCAGGCTTTCAGAGTACCCATCATTGTACCTAAAATTTCTTCAGCAAAAACAATACTAGTTAAGCGCATACAAANTAGGCTTTCAGTGTACCTAAAATTTCTTCAGCAAAAACAATACTAGTTAAGCGCATACAAATACAACGATTGCGCTGGCTTGGGCATGCTGCACGCATGCATGACGAGAAAAGATGCTTCGACTCGGCCACCCATCGGTAGACTACGAAAGAATCGACGCCTACGAACACAATGGAAGGACTAGGTGAAGTATGATATGTCTGCACTCGGGATGTACAACTGCGCAACCTCACAAAAGAGGGAGGCAATCGGCGAAGTTTTCTTGTTCTCGGAGGACTTTCAGAACACTTACTTAAGCATAAACATAATTTTTTATACATATACATATATACATAAGCACTTTCAAATTTAAATATTGAAACCGATGCGGTGGTAGCCCTTATTCAGAAATATTTCCATCACTTCTTCTGGCTTTACATCAATGTCGTAATTTATATTGATGAAAGCCAATCTGTTCAATCTTACTTGGAGCAATGTTTCTCAGAGCCATGTTTTGATTCCACGCAAAGGAGAGAGGCCTTTTAGCGGCAGTATTCATGGCTTGGAATGTGCAAAGTATATACGAAATACAACTCTGTGACAATTTGTGAGTATCTGGATAGAAGAGAGTATCATATCAATTTTCAAGCTTCCATTGCCGCTACCAAAGCGCTTATTCCGCTGTCAGCCTCAATTTTTGTTGTCGTTGATTCCCTACCAAAAAGTTCTATGACTCAGTTTGATAAGTTCGGCAGAAACAACCGCTGTAGTCGGGTGTTTATGGATCCGTACTAGGACTTGAGTTCGAGCTCTGGTCCAAGCAACATCTAAAAATAGGAAATAGTCGCCCCTTGGCAGTCATTGGTAAAACTACAAGTGCTTTTCTCTCTTGAAAAGCTTCTCATAAAATCCATTTGCAGTTCGGAGGTGGCGAAAAATTTTATAATAAATAAATAAATTTAAGATATGCAAAAACACACTCGGTTCAGGATAAGAAAAACCCGAATTTTTTTTACTATACATATGGAGAATAGGCTAATGGGGCATCAAGCAACGAGAGATAATGCTTTTCTGCATAATAAGAGTAGAGTGGTAGTACGCCAACAAACCAAATAGTAAAGAATACAGTTTAAAGTAAATTTCATTTGTATTTCAAACATGTAATAATTTTCCCAAAGACTTGGTACTTTGCACAGCCATTTGAAAGATAAGTTCTGAAATATTAAGAATTTTTAGTATGATTACTACTTATTTTATAAGTTCCAATCCGAATTAATGTACGAGTATTTTAATTAAAGAACGGCTAGAAAAAAAGCCGCGAAGGTGGTTCTTAAGTTCTTGGGTTATGGCATTCACTTAAATGCAAAATTTAGCCTCAAAAAGGCTTAACTGGTCACACTGGTGAGGACAAGTTATGAACTCTGTGAATTCATAATATGTAATATCAATGGCATCGAGGAATGATTACCAGATTTTTAGAGTTGTTTCGCAACTAATTTTCGTTCGGTTGGATAGTATTTATCCACATGTGCATGCAGACCCGCCTAGAGGGGAGGGGGTCGGAGGTGTTTCCAACAGGGCCCGAATTGTCAAAGGGGCCTGCATTTTTGTAGAAATTACGTTGGAAAATAAAAATTTTAATATTTTTCAAACTTGATTAATTTTATTATATATTTAATATCATAGCATTCTACCTGTTTAGACGAAGCTTTTTAACGAAAAAATTATACTCCACACACTACGAAAGAAACCACTAAACAAGTACGTAGTGAAAACGTTGGAAATTTGTTGAAAAAGGAAAAATTATTTTATGGGTGGGCCTGTCACATATTTACCCGGGCCTGGATTTTCTATCGACGGCCCTGTATGTATGTAGCAGAAATAATAAAAAATCCTAACCATTTCTATATGCTACTCATTTAATGGTATAATTCAGATACAAATCGTCCAGACTTTTTATAAATATAATAAAACATCATTTTAATTTTTATAATACTTCTACATATTTTATTTTTTTTTAATTTGTAATCATAATTTTGATTTTCTTTGGCTTAGTTTTGAAATAATAGCAGTCATTAAATTTACTCATATTTTGGTTTTTGTTTGCAAGCCTAAGAATAAAAGCAGAATTAGCAGTGCTAATAGTAAACTTAAGATTTTAAATACATACATATCTACATAAATACATGATAATTTCTTAATTTTACATGCAGACATACGTTCATACATATATTCAATTACTATATTCACCATTCATTCATATTCATTGCACACTTGTCTATACCTAGAATTAATTAACTATTTATGTATGTATTCGAAACTTTGAAATTTCACTTCATGGTTTTCATGGAAATACAAAAAATAAAATAAAATAAAAATTTATTGTGAAAATATACAATTGCAGCATTTATGTGGTGTGTGTGTGTGTGAAAAACAATAATGGACCAAATTTTTAAGCCTTTAAAGCCAAAAAACTTCCACTATGCAATTTTGGTTTGATAAGTTATTCACAAGCAATAAAAATTCGAAACTCCAACAGTGATAATGGCTCATAAATCATTGTTTCGTTTCAGTTGCGCTGCAACGCGGCCACTTCTTTTCAAAAATCATAACAGATTTCTCATTAGTTTTTACAATTCCTTCCATATGCACCCTCATTTCTACCTTATTTGTCCAGCCTTGTCTCGTTGTCCGTTTTGTGCTCCTCACGCTTTTGATATTTTCGCATTTCTAATATTTGCAACAGTCGTTGTTGCATCTTGCAATTTTATGAATGCGAATGACTTAGGTGATGTGCACCCAGTGCCGGATGAAAGTAAGGTCCATAGGGTGGATAGGGCACAGCGTGTGAATAAAGCAAGCTGCTGGCATAGGCGCCGGGTCCGAAACCACCCGCCCCCGGTGGTGGAGGAATCGTCGGACTATTCACATCCATGCCGGGATTTTGTTTCTTCCATTTGGTGCGTCGATTTTGAAACCAGATTTTGACCTGAAAGTGAGGAATGGCATTGAGATTAGAAATTTGAAAAGAATATGAAGATGCAAAGATTTTTTTGTTTAATCGTAAAATTATTTAGGCAAAGGCTAATTTAACACGGCGATTGTGGCAACTGTACTTCAACTCACCATAGTATTTCGAAAGCCAAAAGTCTTTCAAATTTGTCAACTATTTATCTTGAAAGCTTTTTCCTATTTTTTGAAAGTCTATTACGTTTATCGTTTGGCAATCAGATTTCTAAGATACTAACTATAAAAACTAAAATTTAAAAGAAAAAAATAATCCAAGAAAGACAACTAACTAAACAAAGAAAAAATAATTAAAATAACTTTTTAAAACTGAAATGAAATTAAAAACAAATATTTTTAAGCCAATAAAATATAACACTTAAATTAAAAAAAAAGTAAATTAAAAATTAAATACATAAGTTCCTTAAAATTCAATGACATTAAAATATAAAATATTTTCATTTTAAAACAAAAAAGAAGGAAAGAAAAAATAGTTTTTAAAAAGTAAATGAAATTAAAAAATATATTTTTCGTACTCGTCCATTGCGACCACGTAAGCAAAATGACATATGTACATAAATCGCCATTTAGAACGCATTCAAGTGCTTTCTGCCAAAGAGCTTTTACCATGAAAGTGCGCAAAGGAGTTTTTTTTGTAATACTTTCGTGCCAGAATAAACAAAATCTTTGAAACTGCCACTCAATTGTCTTACAACAGAGTTGCAGCTAACTTAGCTGGAACTGCCCTGTAAATCTAACGGAAACGAAAGTAGAGTGTGTAAAAAAATTGCATTACAAAGAGTATAACTTTTTCTCATATTCAAGCAAGACTCTAATAAAACGTTCATATTACCTATGCCTGGATTATCAAGTTCATACTCCTTTATCCGAGGAGTCTTTGTCACGGAAATTATACTGCCACCAGAAGATGGATTTTTATGAAAAGCTTTTACATTTTAAAATGACACTTGTAGGTTTGCCACTGCTTGCCGAGAGGCAACTCCTATTAGTTAGACCCAAATTTTTGGATACATAGATTAGATTAGATTTAGAGGAGGGAGCAGGTCACCTAGTTACCGCGACCGAAACGATCTATTGTAACAAACCTCTATTCAACTACAGGTCATCTTTGATCCACGTACTGTTAAGAAACCTCGCGAGGTCCTTTGGCTGAATGCCATTTAGGTCGTGTGCTTCTAGGTACGGTGATCCTAGGAAGCGAAGTCTGGTCCTGGAAAGGGCTTCACAGCGGCACATAATGTTCTCTGCTGTTTCCTGTTCTTCGTTACACAACCTGCACTGGTCAGAGTTGACAACTCCTATATTTGACAAGTGTTTCATTACCCTACAGTGGCCAGTAAGAAAGCCTGTAACAATTCTTACTTCATGCCTACTGAGGTGAAGGAGTTCTTCGGTTCTCCTTGTTGATATAACCGGAATGAAGGACTTGGCCTGTCTGTTACCTTCCGTATTGGTCCAGTAATGTTGTCCTTCGATCTTCATCCAGATATAGTAGTTCCGTATAACGGAGCTCCATAGCAGACCGGTAAAGGGTCCTGGGCCTATGAATCCCTGTGCAGCCCCTTTCCTGGCGAGAATATCTGCCACTTCATTGCCCATGACTCCACTGTGTCCCGGTACCCATATGAGGTATACCCGGTTCCTTGAGGCGATCAGTATTAAAAGTTGAAGACAATCCCACACCAGTTTGAGGTGACCTCGTGCGCTTTTGGAGCGAGGAGCGCCCCTCTGCTGTCCGAGTGTATATAGATGTGTTTTTTGGTTGCCCCACTTTCTACATACTGCCTCAAACAATCAATGGCGTGAACCTCGGCCTGAAGGACCCTGTTACCCTGCCCCATGCTGGTTAAAAGGAGCAGTCTGGGTTGTATACCGTAGACTCCTGTTCCGACGCCGTGGTCAGTCTTTGAGCCGTCAGTATACCAGATGTGGCTGTCCTTCCGGGGTTTAGGTCGTTCATTGTCCCAGTTATTCCTGTCAGGGAAAAAGACCTTGAAGTTATGTGAGAAGTTAAACCTCGGTAGGCACAGGTCCACAAAACTTATGCGCAATCCATCTTCTTGTTCTATAACCCTGAGAGTGGAAGGGTGGATACATAGGTATTACTTAAAGCAGATATCGAAAACAGATCCTACCGAGTGGTAGCAGTTATCCCTGACCACTCAGACAATTGTCAAAATTGTTTTGTTCTTTCTTCATTACTTTAAAAAAATAGTAATTAAATTCATTTCAACATGGCATTTTTTAAATGCCTTAAATTTTTTGTCATTCAGACTAATGTGTGCTTCCCTACGTAGCGAATACGGACCCTACCAATGACGAAGTAATATAACTATGCAAAGGGGAAGACATCATCAAATACGTTAAGTGTCATAAGCTACGATAGTTAGGTCATGTAGAGCGTTTTATCATCGAAGAATTCGGATACGGTCTGTCACTTGCCTGTGGGAATATATTATATAGACGGAGGTGGACCAACAGTTCGAAGAAAATACTAGACATTTTTCCTGATAAAAATCAGGTATCAGCAGCGGGCAGCAACGGATCGGCAACATCAATAAATATCGTCATCAAAATTACTGCGCGGAAGATGACTACATGGGCAAATAATTATTTAATACCTTCTCACCGTACAAATTTTCGGATCTTGGGCGGTATTTCCTGCAATGTTACATCGATTTTAACGGTACTTCGTACAAGTATTACAAACGCTAACGCTAAGGTAACCTCGGAATCCAAAGCGGGGGAATATTATTTTACTAAGACTCAATAGAGATGGGGTGAAGGCTCGCGCGTACCTGGGTGATATAGAGATTATCGTATCTGTGAGGTGCACAATAGTGAGAAGCGTGAGGCTTCAAAGAAAACTAGGGGAATTAAGCGTGGGCAAAAAGCTGCGGCCTTAGCGTAAATCCTTCGAACGTCTTTTACTCGAATTTTATTTATTTATTTTTGTAGAAGTATAGTTTTTTCAGTTGATTTTAAATTACTACTTAAAACTCCGCTTGGTGGCGATGTGATCGAACTATTCGCAAAAATATTTATAATCCGATTTGGCTCATATTCGGAAACTTTTTTCCTTAAGTTCGAACACAATTTTTCTGACAAAAAATAAACTAGCTAGATGACGCTGAAGTTGTTATTTGAGATAGTACTATGTGCAGTGGGATTTTATTTTATTAAGAATTTGTATATTTTTAAACACTTTGAAATTTCAAAGATATGATTACTTCAAAAAATTACTTAAAAAATTCAGTGCTATGTGGAATAAAAGTATGGGCACCAAATGAAAGAGAAAATTCTTTGAAATTTAAAAATGTGTTTCATTAGGAAGAATAGATAATGAAAAAGCTCTTTTAAACATTTTTATTTTTTTAACTAAAGCTTACAATCCAGCTCCCAAGAAATATTACAGGAAATATATTTGATTATTTATATCTGAAAACACACTCTGCTTTTGCTATAAATTTTCTTGAAGAAATAAATATACGAGCATTTTTTTTCTTGAGATCTGCAAGCCGATTCAGGAAATTTTGATAACAGAAAATTTCTTTTCCATTTCTTGTGCGTCATTGTATTTGAATATTTAATTTTTCTTGAGAGCTGGACACAACTCTTAATAAATAAGGAAGAACGAAATTCGAGGATGTGCTCGTGTATAAATGTCTTTAATATTTAATTTTTTCAAAAACAAGTATTACAAATTTTTAAGGATGTTCAAGGATAAAATTTTAAATTTACATTTTCAAGACTTTCCCGTACTTGTGCACCAAAGAAATTAACCGTCACCAATTCCACATTGAATTAGTCATACTTTTAAAGGTTCAAAGTCATTTTAAAAATATCATGACGTCAAAGTGAATAACTAAAAACGCAGTTTTACTACTTTTGGGCCCTAATTTCGTGAGCTTCGCTTACCTGTAAGTTGCCCAAAATTTAGAGCTAGAATTCTTCGAGAATTGGTACGTATGTACATTAGACTGCATCCCAAAAAAAAGTTGCGGTTTTTCCGGCTGGATTACAAAATTTATTATATTTGAAGACGTCCACCAAAAATTTCGAATAAACATTTAGAATTACGCTGGACCGATTTGAAAATAGATACATACCTCCAAAATGGAGTTTTTTATGAATAAAAATAATTTCTTCAAGAACTTTTTGAAAAAAATCCCCTCAGATGACAGAACAGATTAAGCTTAAAAATTTTTTATAAAAATATTTAAAAATGTTTTCAGCGTAATCATAATAATGATAGTTTTGATGCTGTTTTTTCACTTTTTTCATTGGTTGATTTACGAAGAGCTTTAATTACTATTCTGATTTAAATCGGTCCAGCTCACGTAAATCTTAATACTTTTCCGAAATATTTTGGCGGACGTCTTAAAATATAATCGATTTTATAAATCCAATGGAAACTCAGTCCCGATTTTTTTTTTAAGGGGAGTAATGCAGTCTAATGTACATACATTACTTTTGATCTCACTAAGCAAGCGTTCTAAATTGCTGAACCTACTTTTATACCGGCAATTTTTAGAAGAGCATAAAAAAGTGCATATATTTTTCGTTACTTTTTTTGGTTAGTTTCAAATGGCCCTTTTAAGATCATTTAGGCCCAAAATACAACGAGTGTATACTATGTACATTATTACTTATAACTTTGTAAATATGTGGTAAATATGTACTGCAAAACTTCGATGCATTTATCTGCCTTTCATGACATTTATTTCATTAATCTTCCGCAACTACCCACCTGTGTTTCGGTGAGACTGAGACTCAGCGCCAAATTTAGTCGCTCGCAAACGCTCAAGTACCGTGTAGTCTTGAATTTATTCTCCAGCGATACCAACTGTTCATAGGTAAAAGCGGTACGCGCGCGCCGCGGTTTTGAGCCGCCACCACTGCCGCCTTGGGATTTGCCATCACCATTTCGACTGCCACCCTTCTTCGAATCCGTTTCGCTGGCATGGTCATCAATGTCGCTGCTCATGCCATCATCGCACATGTCATCCTGATCCATGTCATTGAGGTCGTGAGCTGCAAAAAAAAGGAGAAATAGAAAGAAAATGAGGACGAGAAACTTCTAAGATATAGAAAAGGGGATATGTATGTAATACGAGTATATGGCTGAAGAACTTAAAAAAATAAAATAACTGAAAAAACTGAAAATAGAAATCCCAAAATCGTTGCAAATCGTATAAACGAAACAATTAACATTTTGAATGGCATTCAGCATTTGGAAACCATCAATCATTCACGCCATCTACAAACATACGCGCATACATATGCATTTACATACATACATACTTCACTTTGGTCGCGTATTATCCTTGCTACTAACTTGGTGACGCTGCATTTGATTTGATGAAGGTAAAATGCCGTAATCCGAAATGGTCATTTGATGAAATCAATCACCGACGCGCCAAGCTCAAAGACAACAATAACATAAAAGTGTTTTCTCCGACAGACAGCAAAACCGAAAACAAAAATCAAGAAAACAAGAAAACAATCGCACTGATAGCAAAACAAGCAAATGTAAGAGATACAGCTACAGCATTACAGAATTAATTGGAAAAGCCAATACAAACAAATACAAATGTGCAAGCACACAAACTCCTTTACGAAATGCTAACACAAGAGTGTGTGCGAACGTTTTTACATAGATAGCACATACAATAAACACCCGCATACATATGTGCTATAGAGCGTATATTCCGCTATCAATCGCCACATACATATGTACATATGTAAGAACGGCCACCCATGTTTGTCAATGTGTAGCCGTGTGTGCGTTAAAGTGCGCATCCATAACAGTTACTTTTCGAGATCATTCGCAATACCAGAATGTGCCAATCAAAATTCAATTAAAACGCTTTTACTATGCCATACACCTCGAATGTATGTATGTATGCATGTGGGTTGGTGTGTGAGTGGGTGTTGCTCAGTCATTGCTCATCCAGTGCATCTGGCCACTTCCGTTTGGGCGTCTTTCAATTAATCGGAAATCATCGATGCTTTCGTAACGAAAATTCCTGTCGATCAGGGTTGTTGTTAACTGCTTGCTTTACGCATAATGAACACTCACATATTTGTTGAGTACATACATACATATACATATGTGTATGTGTAGTTGTATGGGACGATATATGTATGTACATATATAACAAATGTAACGATTCCTTGCTTTGCAGAATACCTATTATGCATTGTGACTGCATTGCGTATTGTTTACAAATAAAATTAATAACTTGATTGCAATTAAGTAGATGTACTAAGTAAATATGTATGCAGGTATGTATGTATGTGTGTATAAGTAGACATGTTGATAATTAATTTCTTTAATTATTGATAAGCAATAATCAGCAAATAGATTCACATAATATTAGAAATTTAGATAATGTATTAGTATGATTCCGAGGACGAAACTTATACCTACATACATATGTACATTAGGGTAGTTCACAATATTTATATTATCTTCGAGCTCTTATTTTCTCTGCCCATAAGGAATTCGCGTCCGCCAAAGAGAGGTTTTTGTTTGGTTTGATTATACAAAGAGCTTCTAATGTTCGTTGATAAGAAGTTCGCGCTCGCGCAATAGAGGCTTTTGTTCCAATTTTATAAAAAAAAAAAAACTATCCTGTGAGGAGTCCTCTCCGGAGAGACTAATTTCTTCCGTCAAATATACTTAACACAAAGGAAGTGTACGTCTATTAGAGATGTCCGTTAAAAGAGATTACACTGTATTGTAGATGGCGAAATAAAATTTTTCTTAGAATTGCTATAAAATCCTTAAAACCCAATATTTTTATGAAATAGGAATATTGATTCATGCCAAAATTAAAAATTTTTACCAACGAACGTTTCAAAACTGCTATTCTCATATACATAGCCGTTTATAGGCAACGTTAATCCGAATAAACGCCCTGAAAAATTTGTTTAAATTTTTTTTAGATCTCTCAATTATTAGATACCCTTATTTTTTTAATGTAATTATAGTTGTTGTGATTCTTCTTAAAAAAATTATACCATAAAAAATGAAATTAACTTGAAATAATTAGGTGAAATACCGCAAAAATAAACTTAAATTAAAAAGTTAAAAATTTAATCAGAGAAGCAAATAAAAAAAATAGTATTTATTTTTAGGAATTACTCGGTGTGGGGAGCGAACCTGGGTCTTAAAGAGTTGTAGTACTTTCACGGTCGCGGATGCCAAACTTGTTCTATTTGTTTTATTGTACGGCCTGCAAATTTGTTTTGATTTTTTTTTTAGATCCTTCTGTTATTAGACACTTATTTTTTTAATGCAATTATAGTTGAAGTCTTTAAAAAATGGGCCAGAAAAAAATGTAATTAACATAAAATAATTAGGTGGTATACCGTAAAAAAAAATAAAATAAACAAAAGAATAAATAAAAACAAAAATAAAAATAATTTAAGAAATTGCTCAGAGTGGGAATCGAATCTGTCTGGGGGGCGGCGGCAGAAAAATTCCTAAAAGTTTATTTTCCAGTGTTTTTTTTTTGTTCTACCCTTATATATGTATGTATGTACACATATTAATTACTTGTCCTAATTATTTGCGATTAATATGAATCGGTTATGANGTTCTACCCTTATATATGTATGTATGTACACATGTACATACTATGTACACATGTACATACATACGTGTATTCATAATATTAATTACTTGTCCTAATTATTTGCGATTAATATGAATCGGTTATGATGATGGAAGGCTAATCCATATGAGACTTTATTACGTTGTACATATCATGCAATTGCTAAAGTTAATTAGTTTTAGCAATTTCTGATTGCTTATTACTGATTTTATGAGTATGCTTGCGGGGTAAATGGTAAATGTTTTTTTTTCTACATATGTGCATTGGATATTTGATTTTTATTTTTATTTTTAATAAATATGCCTAAATATGAGGAGAGGATGAGGAATGTAGGAAAACCAACAAAAATAACGTTTTTGTTAAAATTTGGCACAAAAACAACTCGGAGTAAAAACATATCGCCACGTAAAGGTGAAAAGTTGACAAGTACATTTTTTTTTTTAATGTAGTTTTTGATGCAGAACGGCAGGTAATACGAAACAACATCGATTTTTTGTCTCTCCTGAATAATTTCAAAAAAAAACAGACCAAAAAGAAAATAGGAGGCAAGCCTTTTCAAAAATATTTCCGAATTGGGAATTTGTAAAGAACTTTCCATTTGAAACCCATTTTATGCAGTGTTATTTAATCTGTAAAATCTGGCAACACTGCTCAGGACCGATAGCACCATTCGAGGGAGTGCGCGAAGTTTATATTTTAATCTCACCGTACTATGAGCTATGTAGCTATATGCAGAAAAAAATATTTAGTAGAATGCGTTTCCTACTGCTACACTTAACCGTGAAAACGGCAGAAAAGTTAAGAAATCATATTGACAGCATTAGTGGTAAAAATGAATTTCTTCATTTTGGCTAATTATAAGTCAGCTTTTATTGCGCCTAACCGAAGATTAGATAGAGTTTCTATCGATACGAGAGTGATGAGGGAATCTACCTCGAGTTAAGTGCCTTCTTTAGTTTTTATCTGACTTATTTAACTCCCTGTATTATATTTAAGTCTTAATTACACCATAGTGATTAATGCTATGTTAAAAAAATACTCCAAAGGCATGTAAAAGTTAAACCTTCGTAAAACCGCCGCTAATCCACCTTAAAAGTGCGACAACTCCTTCATCTTTCCAAATTTTTTTTTGCTGCCCGCCTTGCCAGGAGTAAAAAAAATGCAAAATTTTTGTTCGAAAACTTTTCGTGTTAACAAATTAACTACACGACAAAACAATTTAAAACGCCAAAACAAACTGACAATCTGGTATGAAACGCCCCAAGGCTTGGCACAACCCTTTACTGCTAACTACCAAACAACCACAGCAGACAATTTTCTTGGCTACCAACTAAGCCACTTTGTTTGTGAGTGCATTCAAGCATACGCAGCAGGAGGGCGGCAGTGGCAGACGGGCGCGCAGGTTTTACTCAAATTATACGCCGAAAATTGGATTGACGCAAATCAGCTCATTCGTGGCAAATCGAAAAAGGATGCGCTGAAGCTGAGCGTTGGAAAAGTGGCACGGCCGGTAAAAGGAGAGAAGTGGAAAAGACGAAGCTAAACTGTCAACCCTAATCAAAGTGTGACCAAATAGGCTGCTTAAAGATTAATAGACTTCATACTCGTAAGCGGCAAAGTGACAATTTCGTGAGGTGCGAGTTTGTGCCTATAAAGCTGTCGGTCGGTCTGTCTGTGGACACCTTTGTGCTTTATTTTTCTATTTCTACTTATTACATAATTAGGTATGTATGTGCATAAACTTTCCACTTACTTACACCTTTACTTTCGAAAAAGCATGGGCGAAAAAAACCTTGCGCTCTCACACTTGCCACCTCCTGACGTCCGTACTCGTTTTTCAATCTAAAATGCATGAACAAATCTGGTAATTGGCCAACATCATTGGCCATGTTTGCATGTAATTAGGTTAGGTGTAAGTGTGGGTATCAGCTGCAGCGCCTAAAAGTAGATAAACACTCACGTATCAACACACACACACACGCCAACAAACACCACCGATGAGTTTACTTTACATTAGTGTGCAGTGAAAGCAAAGCAAATTACAGCGCTTTTCACCTATGTAGTACTTCAGCTTTCACCGCGCTGTTCGTGCGGCTATGCAAAATACAACAGACAACAGGCGAAAATATGCGCGTACGTGCAAACATGGCGGCTGGAGTGCATGCTATAGTAATAATAACAACAACCTGCTACAACATCATGATATGCAACTCTGCTTGTATACATTTGTATGTATGCAAGGGGTACACACATATACATACAAACATAACATCGCGGTAATTAATCAGAAAATTAACATCAACGCTTCATTTAATATTTAAGGTTTGCTGACGGACACAACGGTGACCACAGCAGCAACAACAAAAAGCGTACACTATGCTTGTTGCAGCGCTTCCTATGTAGTATCTACTG